CCCAATCAAACACAAAAAAAAAAAAAAGGGTAGGTTTTATCACCTGGAAAAAAGAATATGAACTAATTCTACCTGTATATGGTTTTGTATATGGCACAACTAGATGACGGGTTTTTTTGGTCCAGAGCATTGTCTTAAATAACTGAACGGATACTGTAACAGTTATGGTAACGGTGTATTGGACACGGGGTTTAGAGGGCGTTCCATAACAGTAAGGGAATCCGAAAGTATTATTTATTTATTTGCATTTCTTTGCATGCTTTAGGTCCAAACCAAATAAGCCCAGTTTTTTTTTTTTATTTACAATAAATTTTCTTATGTTATTTACATGATTGGCATGCTAAATTGGTCAATTAATACAAGTGGGCAATAAGTATATATGTGTACACGTGTTTGTTGAGCCCGGGATGTGAGATCTAGCATGTTATCTGAAGTTGAATTTCAAATAGGTGCCATGTGTATCACGAAATCAATCGTTAGATTAGAAAGGTGAAACTGTGTCTTGGAATAGGCTACAGAAAGTGCCTAAACCATTTGTGGGAGAACAGGGGCCCACTCCTGTCACCAAAGTTCTAGCATTGTCAGATACACGCCCCCACATGGTCAACAAGGAGGACACTCGTCATTTTTACATTTATCCAACTTGTTGATTCCCACCAACCCCAACAGCCTGCCAACTCATGTGTGGTGTCCACCTGCTCCTCATCTCAAGCCTTGAGGAACATGCACTGCACTGGTCATCTCTTCCGGCTAAATAGACTCCATGGACGAATAGCTAGAAGTTGGAAGAAGAAATTCCATAATGGACGCTACAATGTTGTAATAGGCCACTTCAATGCTTGCTATAGCCTGTCACACCACCATAAAGGCTGTCATGTATGTGAAAAAATATTCCACCATCAAATTGGAGTGTAATGGTTTTGGCCTAGCCGATGCCGTTCCACAAAGGTTGTTAAGGATGGCGACTACTGATTTCAAAATTATGGTTTGGAGACATATGAGGATGAGAAACTCTAACCATCTTTAACTCTGTTGAATTGTTATAGAAATTCATCCAGTTTCTTTGAGTATCCATGATGTAATCATTGCATGGTTGGACTCTTGGACCAATATGATCAACTTTGCAAGCCCTGGGCATAAGATTAAGACTTTTGGTCCAAAGAGAAATGTATGGGCAGTTTTATTAGGGTTAATTTCTATCATTTTTTTATTGAATTGTTTGGATAGCTAGTATTTATCTGATTAGGAGTGTTTGCATAGAATTATACGAGAGTAGTACTTGTTTTGGTCGGAAACTAGTCTATAAATAATCATGTAATCCATCTTCTTGAAATCAAAGTGATATAAATAATATAATCATGTTTGAATTGATTATTCTCTACAGGGAATTGTCAGTTTCTTGACCTAATCTTTACAAGGGTTTGGCAATCCATCTCTTTCTTCTCTTCTTCTAGTCCCTGCCTTTCTCTCCCTGTTCTGCATCAATCCATCTCTTAGTTAAGTCACGAACCTTGATGTTTGTTGATGGTCTCTGTTAACATTATGCCCCATCAAACATGAGTGATTTTTTTTGGTTTCATCTTTCAACATTGTTGGGAGCCCAAATTGAGAACATCCTCATCGGAAGGTACTGAAAACAAATAATTCTATGTATAGATATTTGGATGTTATGATTATTACAGCGTCCGAATGCACTACATGATATTGTTCCGTAATTTGGTTTTTCCATCTGACCCTTATGTCCCCTGTTTCATGTTTTAGGTTATCATTCAAAGTTTAAGGGAGTCTGGTGTTTTTAGCTCTGTTATAGCATCTGCCCCATTAACTCTCTCAAAGGAAAGTAGTAACTCATCCAGAGCTGCTGCCTCTAACTCACTTCCCTTAAAAAAGATTGGTAGAAGTAGAGAGTCTCAAGCAACTGCTAGGAGGGCTTTAGAGAATGCAGCTGCCGCAACTCATGAAGCAGCGGTGCCACCTTTGTCTCCGCCAGGTATGGATAGGGACTTCATAATCGAAGCATGATAGGTCTCCACTCATGATTGTTGCTGCTTTTCTTCCTCCTATCATTGTGGTGGTCAAAGAGAACGCGTAATGATGGAGAAGTCTTCGAGCAAGCATATTTGTGGTTGGAGTTCATTCTTGGTTCAATTCTAGTGGTTATTCCCGATCATTACCCAAGCGGAGGTGTACATATATAGAGCTAGAGGGAGGGAGAGAGAGAGAGAGAGAGAGATACGCGAGCTCCACAGGTATTGTTACAGGAGATCTTGGCCTTCATTGTGATGTATAGAACTCAAATTGTGGTGACTGGCTGAAATAGTCTTAATTCATTCTAGTGCTCAAGAGAATGTGTTTTGTGGTGTAGTGCAGCAACATTCTTTGCAGTTGGTTTTTATATACTGGACAATCTAGAGATGGAAATATACAAAAGACTATTTGAACAAATATCGAAAACTGGGATATACCACAATGTTGGAACTTGAAAGATCTGATTATCACTTGGATTAGGGCCGCCAATGGGTGAGGTTGTGTTTGAGTTAGGGTTGAATCTATGTTTGTGTTGTTTTAAAATTTGTTCAATTCATACATAGACCGTAGTTTATTTATAATTATGTATAGTTGAGTTTGTGTTTTGTTGAGTTCATGCCGTGTGTAAATCTTGTTTAGCAGGTTTAAATTCAAAATCATTAATTTCTTGATGATTTCGTGTTTGGTCTGTGAATTGTGTCTAGAATCAGGCCAAAACTTGGATAAAAAATGTATCTATCCATAAGTTAGCAGGACTTCATTCGTAAAAAAAATAATAGAAATTGTAAGAAAATAACTGCTATTATACATGTTTTCTTTGCTTTGCTTATAATAAGCTAAATTTGGTATTTATATATTCACCAGCAATAACTCGTGTTTTCAAACACTGGAATATAAAAAATTGAGCACTAATTATGCTAATATTTATATTTTAAAAAAATATTTATTTTTTAAAATTACATAACTTAAAATTAAAATAAACAGAGAAAAAAATAAGAAAAGTAAGAGAGGGAAGTAGGTGTAAATTATTGGAGTTGTTTAGTAACCAACATAGGGTATGTTTGATAACTCAAATTCCGCACTTAAAATTAATGTATTCAACATTAATTAATTAAGCTCATTTAATAACTAAAATTTAAGCTCTTTTAATATGTTAAGTGCTCCTTAAAAATAGACTATAATATTAAGTAGGAGATTCATTACATAATTCTGAAAGCTGAAAGTACTCAGTAAAATCATCTTTAAGAATATTTAAAATATAATAATTATACCTCGAAATATTTTACAATCCTATTAAAACTTTAATTAGTCTTCTCTTTAAAACATCTAACCTATATATTCTCTTTGTCGATTTTTTTTTCTCTTTTTTTCTATAACAAAAATATATATACACAATTATAATTACACACAAACGCATGCACTGCACATACAATTACACAAATGGACTACACACACACACATATGTATACTGTTAATAAAATCTAATTTATTGTATTTTTTTCAATATTATTTGATTATTTATTAGTTATTATTCTCTTTTTTTTTTAATTAGATGTTATTGTTCATTTATTATTTTATTCAATTTTTTATTGTTTACTTATTGTGTTATTCAGATGTTATTTATTTATTTTGATCAAATATTTGTTAAATGTAGACTATAATATAATAGTGATTATAATTTATGTTATGACATATTTTATAAATATTTTTAAATTAAAGAGTGGTAGGGTAAAACTGAAAATTAATTTATCAAACAGTTTAGTTCAATTCAGTACTTAAATTCCAGTGAATATCAAGCAGTCCACAAATTCAACATTCAACTTTCAATTTTCAGAGTTCAGTTTTCAATTTTATCAAACACCACTATTGGGCTTCACTGAAAATGGGTAGTATTGATATTATGTTTGCATCACATAAACTTTGTGGGGCCTGAATACAATATTCCAAATATGATGGGGCCTAAGTTATAAATGACAAAAGTCTGAGAGTTCGAGTGTAATTTACTCAAAAACCGAATGAAAACACAAGCCAATATAACACTATCCATCCCCCCAGGTGAGTAACCAAAACCATGGGGAGTCTCATCGTCTCTCACTCAACCTCTGTCGCTCTCCGTCGTACCCACAAATCACCACCTCTACTCTACACCTCCAACCCACCGTCCGTTCCATTCTCCGGCCAATTGGGTTGCCGGAAAACCAGAGGTCTGTCGTTGGTGACACGCGCAGGTCCGAGCACCAACAGCTATATATTTGCATTTGTGTTCCCTCTCTCTCTTCTGGCCGTCACAATCTTCACTTCCGCTAGAGTCGCTGATAAGCTCGACGAAAAATTTCTTGAAGAGGTATGACTATTAATTGCTCGTGTCTAATTGTTATGCAAAGTTCAAATCTCTATGGTTGTGCCTAAAGTAGAAGATCTGAATTGTTTCTGGTTTTGTAGAATTTTAATTTTTATTGGTCTGATTTTTTTATTTTTTATTTTTGTGAAGACTGTTTTTGTGTAAGCATTCTAGGTGTTTGATGGAATATACACAATGGGTTCCAAGACACTTGTTGCCCAGAAACAATATAGGGTTGAAAGTAGGCCTGGTAATTGATGGTAATTCTAGACAAAACCCGCAAACTCGATACGAAAATGACCAGTGAATTAGTGGATTTTGGTTTAGCTTAGCGTATTCATATGGTAAATGGGTGGGGATCCATTAGGTCACGAATCTTTTAAATACAATTTATACATGACACCAACCCAACCCCTTTTGGAGGAGAGGGTTGTTTATCAGAGCAAGTTCGAATCTCGCAGCCACCAAAAATTTTCGCGTGCTAGGCCCAAAATCTAGCCAGCACGTTAGGGGGTGTGTTAAAGAATAAATAATTAAGTTATACCCTCTCATTAGGGGGTGTGTTAAAGAATAAATAATTAAGTTATACCCTCTCATTAGCTTAAACTTTTGAAGGAGATGATTGTTTAACAAGATATGATATAGACTATATAGTATGGGTTGTTTAATTTTAATTCTATATGGCTAAAACACAACACGAACCTGAAACAGTACGACCCATCGCTAGTTGAAAGATTGTGGTTGAACCTTTGTTGTTATTTTCATATATGGCTCCATCATGTGAAAATACTGAAATTGCTACTCAAACACCTTAATGCTTCACTTCACAATCAAATAATCATTGATGATCCATTTTGTCTGCAACCTTATAAGCTTCATGATAGTGGAAAACAATAGGTACAATTCTCCATGCATGTTGCTGCAGCCATGCTCTGATCTGTCTTTGCAAATAGGCAATTTCCTATGACCCTAAAAACCTCCCACCAAAATATGAACCAGCATAAATCATCAGATAGAATGATAACCAGAAATTCAAATAGTAATAGAAACAACGAGCCATTATGGAAAGTTCTGTAGATGGTTACTATACTGGGACAAGAGCTATTGAACTTTCAAAAACTTTTACAAAGAAGTGTTGCTAGAGTTCTAAATCATGCCTCCAGCCATTGTGAGGCCTAAATCATTAGGGACAGCCATCCACTTTGAGCTTGAAAGATCTACCCCGTTCTTGTACTGATGTTTAGGTCACCCACTTTAAAAAGTCGTACCCAGTGTACAAGGTTTTGCCTTTTTTTCTGGGTAAGTACTTACTATCACTGTGTTATGCAAAGGGCCCCAAGATTAACAAACCTGTAAACTAGGACACATCTTTAAATCTTCTCAACCATTACCATTAGGTCTCATCCCTACATTGAGGTAACTACATAATTTTACCACTAAGATTAGTAATAACTGGTAATAACATAATTTTATCCCGGTAAGTACTTAGTTTTAATTCTAAATTAGTAATAACTTGTAGCCCCTCTTTTGACTTTGTTGAGGACATTATTTTATGGATAGCTTGAAGAGTTCTACAAATCCTTTTTGGAATTAACTGCCTTTACTTGTAATTGCCACCGAGATTACTTAAATTAGTGAATACTTTTTTCCAGTAAGTGGAATTTATTAATTATTGAATACTAAAGCTGCTTGAGTTAACCAGTGCTTAGCTAGATTGATCTGGCTGCATTGATTGTTTGTGTAGTTGTATATAAAGCCTATGTAAATAGTACCACTTCGATACCATTCTGACAATTTTTAGACGAGTTACGACCGTGTGTTATCAAAGTTCTAATCAATGAGGTCAAAAAATTAGGGATCAATCCTAAAAGGTTGCAATCGATCCCAGCTTTTTTAGATAGATCCTTATTCAGTCCTATTAGGTTATGACTATCTGATTGGCTTGTAACATTCGTATAATATCTAAACATTATTGTTGGATATGGTAGGAAAATGCTAATGCTATGTACATTTGACTCGTGGAACCACTATTCTTTTAGTCATAACTTTGTCTCAAAATTTTGGCCTCTTTTTTAATATATTGATTCTTGATCTATCACTAAAAGAGAAGTAGGATTACTTATCAAAAAAAGAGGATTATGATTTAATTTGAATGTTTTCAAGGCTTGTTTCGACTAGCAGTTTCTCTGTAGCCCCCAAAAGCATAGTGGGGGGAGCGTGTAGGAGGAAGCAAACGAATGTATCAATAAAATTATTCTTCCATATAAATCGTCGCGATATGAACTTTGTCAATAGATTTTTAGCTAACTCATGTTCCTATTGATCAATTCCATCCTTAAGCTTTACGAAAGTAAGATTTCTTGTAACTGTGGATTATGGGCATTTCCCTATACAGTGCAAAAGGAAACTTACGAAAATGAGAAAGACACTAGAGCAACAAACATCATATTGACTATAGGCCCATAGGCGCGAGATGTACCTTATTTGGAGTGGTTTTTTTGGGGGAGGGGGGTTCCTAGACATAGTCCTTTTAGGCTATGGGCGTTTAGTCCATGGTCCATTGGATGGTCGATGATGCTTGTGATAGTGAGTTTGCTGTTTTGGCACTAAATTTTTCACAGTTTTGCTTATAAATTTTGTTGTTCAATGAATCAGCTTGAAGTCAATCGAGCAATACTAGAAGCAGAAGAGTATGCTGGTGATGCTGTCATTTCTTTAGAAGAAGAACCTGCACTCCCACGCTCTCGTAATCGACCAAAACGAGAAGCTGAGCCTTCATCAGAAAGAGCCAATGCTATAGTAGATAACCAAACACAGGGAATATAGCTGTAGCTTACTTCTAGTATGTAGTTGATTTTGAAATTTTAGTATTGTGTTGGTTACAACTTGTATTTCGACAATTCGAGTATGCATTTCCTCAAAAACCACTATAGGTGGACTAAACTACATGCATTACCATGTTTCCTGAATGGATCAATGAGACGACGACGTTCACCCAGCAGAATAAATTAACCACTGTAACCTCAAAATTTAAAACTGATGGGGGAGGAGAACCGTCATATTTACAACTTACAAAGCATGACCATGATGAACTTTGTTCTGAACACCACACAGACCTCCTATAGTTTATCTTCAGAACAGGAGATAAAATCTCTGAGCCAGAGAACTACAACAATTCAGGTACAACTTGAGGACATGTATGGCCTCCATTTGTTCTCAGTTTCGAACATTTACTTGGGCAACCACGCGAATGTGGTTAACATGGTGGAAAGCTTCATCAATCACGTGCTCATCTAACGCTGCTGGAATTGCTTTACAATCCATCAAAACGTACAAATCTATTGTAGTGAAACAATTTACAATCTCAGGTTTGATGCTTCAGAAGGTCAACCCTTTCCTTTGGCTGATCCATCACGTAGTTACTCCATCCCAGAAGCTGAGGATTTGTCAGAGAAACTGGATATACACATTCTAAGGAATGAATGAGTGATTTGTCAGAGAAACTGGATCTAGAACAACAAGGGTTGATGATGGTTTTGAAGTGCAGTTGATAGGTATCGAATTATATTTCGTTATAGTAGGCACAGACGTTTTCAAATTCTCTCTTTTTTCATCATTTTCGTTTTTCTTTCTCATTTCTAATTCTTTTCCTTTCTAATGTACATCAACAGAAGAGTTCTTTTGCGTTATATTCAACAGGGGCGACAGAAGGGGAAGATTTTAATACATATATTTCTCTATTATGAAAAAAAATAAAAGAAAATTTGCTGCAACATCAGAAATGTTCATGGCCAGAGCGGGTATAAAAATAAAATTCTGGAGACTCCAATTATTGAACTTTAATTAAAACAAAATAACATACCCCACATCACCAGATGAGAAAAAGTTATATTAAAAAAAAAACACAAATTCCCACTGAAATCCGCCATAATTATATGATGTCCAGGGAACAACCTGACACAAACATCAGAATACAACAAAATCTGACAACCCAAATCACATATGAATCATTCCTTTCTGCTGTCGACTCGAACTATTCCAACAAGAAGCCAACAGAATTCTGACACATGCCTGGAATCAGGCAACCAATCACCAAATTTACATTTGTTAAGTTTGAAGAATAATATAATATTAGAGAGAAACGAATTGTGGTCAAAAAATTAATTTATTTTTTACAAATCACTTGTATTTATAGTTAATTTATAATAACACAAAAAACGTATACACCCTCTAATATTTATACATAATATCCTAATACTCTTAATATTCTCTCTCACACTGGACTATATATATATATATATATATATATATATATATATATATATATATATATATATATATATATGATATAATTCAAGCTTGAAACAAATTGATGTAAGGCGTGTACGACTCAATACTTTGATAAATATATCTGCAAACTGATCTTTAGATTTTACAAATTGGGTCATAATCTTTTCAGCTACTATCTTATCTCGAATAAAGTGACAATCAACCTCAATATGTTTGATTCTTCTGTGAAACACTAGATTGACAACGATATGGATAGTTATCTAGTTGTCATAGAACAACTGTAAAGGAGGCTGAACTGGAAATCCAATTTCCTGGAGGAAGTGTAGTAGTCAAGTCAACTCACTCGTCGTATTCGTCGTATGCGTCATTGACCTATACTCAGCGTCAACATTGGATTTCACTATCACGAGTTATTTTTTACTTTTTCATAAGACAAAGTTACCTCCTAAAAAAATACAATAACTAGTGGTTGATCTTCGATAAAAAAGAAAGCTAGCCTAATCAGCATCTGAGAAAACCTTACATTCTAAGATGTCCATTGGCTCGATATAACAATCCAAGGCCAGGAGCACATTTGAGATATCGCAGGATACAAGTAAATGCCTCTTAATGTGGTACTCTAGGAAATCCCATAAACTGACTTACTATACCTGAGTCGAGTAATAGTGAGATAATTGAGCTTCCCAACGACCCGAATTCTCAAACAGTGCACCATCATTCATTGACAGTTTCTAATTCGGATCCATATGAACATCAATCGATCTGCCACCCACCAAACCTACTTCCTCTAACATGTCAAATACATATTTCCTCTAGGATAAATAAATACCCTAGTTAGATCGAACCACTTCAATACTTAAGAAATACCTGAGTTTTTCCAAATCCTTAGTATGAAATCGGTCTCACATGAAGATTTTTAACTTGACAATTCTCTTATAATCATTTTCAGTAATCACAATATAACAATATCATCTACATAGACCACCAATAGAACATATCTAACATCCGTTTGCCTATGAAACACCGAATGGTCTATCTGACATCGAAGAAGACCAAACTCTAAAACTACATTTGAAAACTTACCAAACCATGCCCTCGTTGACTGCTCCAAACCATATAAAGATTTTTTTAACCAACATACACTCTCACCGTACTCCCCCTGAGCAGTAAACTCAAGTAGCTGCTTCATGTATACCTCTTCAACCAAGTCACTATGTAGGAAGACATTCTTGACATTTAACTGAAACAAGGGCAAATCAGGATTAGCAGCCAAAGAAATCAAGATACGAACAGAGAAAATTTTGGCAATAGGAGAGAAAATCTCTCATAATCAACACTATAGGTCCGAGTAAAGCCCTTTGCAATAAGTCGGGCTTTGAGACGCTCCAAAGAATCATCCAGATGAAATTTAACAGTATACACCCAACAGTTCGATTACCAAGAGGTAAATGAACGAGATTTCAAGTCCCATTATGATGTAAGACATTCATCTCCTCCTCCATAGCTTTTCTCTAACCCGAATCAGATAACGCATCCTGTAAGTGCTTAGGGATAGAGATAGTAGATAATTGAGAGGTAAAATAAGAGAAGACATGAGACAAGACATTATATGAAACAAAATGAGCAATAAGATGATTAGTAACACACGAACGAGTACATTTTCGAAGAGTAATAGGTAAAGAGTCTAAATTATCTGATGTACCAGGATCAACGGATGGCAAGGAAGACAGTACGTGCACCTTAGTCGATGGGCAAGGACAACGAGAGTATACACGAAGAGGTAAAGTAGATGGTAAGATAGTTGGCAACAAAATATCTGATGGTGAAAGAAGAGATGGTGGTACAAAAGACAACCCAAAGTCTAAATCCAAAGGCTGAGCAGGTGCCATAAAATATGAAACAGATTCATCAAACATAACATCAGCACTAGTAAAGTATCATCGTAGGGAAGGATTATAGAAACGATACCCCTTCTGTGTGCGAGAATATCCAAGAAATACACATTTGGTAGCCCGAGGGTCAAGTTTATCAAACTCAGGGCTCAAGTTGTGAACATAACACACACCTAAAAACTTTAGGAGTTGAGAAAAAAAGGGTTTACCAGAAAAAAGGACAGAATATAGACTTTGCCCATTTAACACAGAGGATGACATACGATTAATAAGATGATAAACAGTCAGAACAACATCACTTCAAAAATATCAGGGAATATTCATTTGGAATAACATTGCATGGGTGACTTCTAATAAATGACGGTTCTTGCATTCAGCAACACCATTCTATGAAGAGGTATAAGTACAAAAAATCTGATGAATAATGTCAGTTTTACTAAGATAAGCTGAAAAAGAATCAGATTCATAATCCTGAGCATTATCAAAACATAAAATATGTATACGACAATCATACTGAATTTTTATTTCCTTGCTAAAAGTCTCAAATATAGAGAATAATTTAGAACAGACTTTCATCAGAAACAACCATGTCACACAAAAATAATCATCTTTAAATGACACAAAATAAGAATATTTATTAGATGAAATATTCTTTATTGGACCCCATACATCAAAATGTACGAACTCAAATGGACTAGACACACGATTATAGATTCTTGACTGAAAGGACACACGGTGATGCTTACTAAGTTGGCATGCTTTACAAGACATAAACGAAACATAACTAAAACTGGGAACTTGGCGCTTCAGATTCTGGAGAGAGGGATGTCCAAGATGACAATGTCATTGAAAAGGAGACAACGAGATCTGTAGAGCCTGAGTAGATGAATCAAGGTCAAAGTAATATATGCCATCAGTTTCATATCCCGTACCAATCTTCCTCTTCTTCTTGAGATCCTAAAATATACAATAAGAGGAATAAAATGTTACAGAACAATTGAGAGAACGAGTAATCTTACTAATGGAAAGTAAACTAAAAAAAACTGAGGAACAAATAACACGGAGGATATGGACATATCAGGACTCAAGTGAGTACTGACTAGTCCTCAAACCTGCAACTTTAGAGCAAGTACCATTAGCAAGAGTAACACAATGTGTGAAAGTAACAGACTAATAAGTAGAAAAAATATCAGACGCACTAGTCATGTGGTCAGAAGCGCTTCTATGATCCAAGGACTGCGAGTGGAGGACAATAAACAAGTGGAAGCGGTACCTGACTGGACAAAAGTAGCAGTTGAAGAAGATGGAAAAGTCTGTTGCTGGGACAGGAACTGAGTATACTTCTCTTGTGGAATAGTAACCGACCCAGAGTTTGGTTGAGCTAACTGAGGTATGGAAGCAACAATCGAGGTGTCATAATGATAGAAAACCTGATTAGCAGCACCAAAAGATTTTTCATATAAATCCCAACAGAAATTAACAGTGTGCCCTCCACAACCACAACGAGTACAAGAACGAGGTCCATTACGGCCCCTACGACCACTCGTATGACCTCCACGACCACCTTGATGACCACGTCTACCTCGACGACCATCGTTGTGGCTACTAGGAACCACCAGAGCTGAACGATTAGTGGAAATACCATGATCAATGCCTGAAGGACTAGTAGACAAAGTAGCACGCTTTAAACGGGAGAAAACCTCAAGTAGAGAGGGAAGACTAGAGCTACCCAAAATCTGAGAGCGAATAGACTCATATTCAAGTTTCAAACCTACCAGAAACTAAACAACATTCAAATCCTCATGTTGTTTTTGTCAAACCGCTGCATCAGTAGTGAACGGATGGTAGAACTTCATCTCCTCACAAATTCCCCGAACATGAGAGAAATAATCTTCAAGGCTCAGAGTACCCTGCTCCAGACGAAAATACTGTTTGCACACCTTATAAGCACGGATAAAAATACTTGCACCCGAATACATAGTGGCCAAGTGATCTCATATGTCTTTGGCAGTATCAAGATAGAGCAGAGTAGGGCTCAATACTATTCAACAGTAAAGAGATAATCTGAGCATTCTCTTGTTCCCACTGATCATACCTAGGAGTATCCTCCTTGAGTTTGAGATTCACCAAATATTTCTTAAATCATTTACCTCTAAGAAAGATTTAAATAGATCATGGCCATAAAATATAATGAGTCACATTAAGCTTAATAGAAATCATGAGACCATTAACAAGAACCGCAGGAGTAGAGGTGGGTGGCAATGATGAACTAAGAAAGGCAGCATCTTGCTTGAGTTCCATAGTGTGGTAAACAGTAAAAGGGACTTACTAGACAACTGAACCAAGCAAGGGTCTGGTGCTGGGCTACTGAACCAGACAAGGGGAGTCCACTAGACTGTTGAACCGAACAGAGAGAGCTCGCTTGACCGCTAAACCAGACTATTGAACCCGTTGGATCGCTGAACAGGAAAAGAAAAGTCCACTGGACCGCTGAACCGAACAAGGGAGGTTCACTAGATCATTGAACCAGAAAAAAAAAAAAAAAAGGGATGGAATTGGTCTGAATCAGTGTAAAACTGACTGAACTGAGACTGAACCGGTGAAAACTCATTGAACTAGGATTGAACCAGGGTTGAATCGGACTTGGACCGATCCTGTTTGAAGGCTACTGGATATGGGCTGAGTCTCTTGGATTAGGATCCAAATCCGGGTCTGAATCTGGATCTGGATCTAAACCTGGATCTGGGTTGGGCTTGGATCTAGATTTGGATCTGTTACCTAAACCCGCAACTAACCAAGTTCGAGTGGGCCGTCTTCTTCACCAACCAAACCCTAATTCTGCCTTTAACATTGATAGCGCCAACAGAATAGCCAGCGACAACACCCGTCAACGACATCAATAAACACCAAAGTCACCGATGTCAATGACCAGTAATCACAAACGTCAACCAAACCACCATGAAGTAAAACTAGAATCTACCAACGTTGACGGTGCCTCACACCCAACTAACGACTACCACCACCCCTAGATGAGGGATCACCACAACACCTGGGCGATGAACGACAACACCAAGACTTTGATGAACAACGACTACGACCACCACTAGATGAGGGATCAATACACAATAGTGATGAACAGTAACAACGACGAATAATGACAACGGTGATGAACAACGACAACACCAAAACTTCGACAGTAGACACAATTATTTGTATTTAAAATTATTTGACACTGATACCATGTTAAGTTTGAGAGTATTAACACAATATTAGAGAAAAATAAAAAATGATCAAAAACTTAACCTCCCTCTTACAAACCACTTGCATTTATAGTTAACTTATAATAATACAAAACACGTATACACCCTCCAATATTTATATATAATACCCTAATACTCTTAACATCATTAAATTTAAATTAAATTTAAATAATTAGAAGTGCACCAGGCTAAAAAGCTCAACAACCCTCAACACTAGCTTATGGCCCCCCAAAATATTTTATAGAACATCCCAGGCAAGTGAGAAGGAACACAATTACTAGATTACAAATGGACAGGTACATATGCCAAAAACTTTCATTGCCCTTGAACAAAATGGACTTATATCCAAGACCGATTACTGAAATACAAAATTGACCCCCTTCTGGGTTCTTCCCTCCCTCCAGTGATCACCTATCCCATAATCATCACCTCGAAACCTCGAGGTCTTGTGACTCAGTGCATGCTGCTGAGGGCCTGCTCGCTTCCGGCATCCACGATCCAGATATCCACCATCTGCATTCAGTCTTCGAGAATCTAAATGTTTTGGTTCATTTAGATTCTCCCAGTGCTTCCAACCCCAGGAATCATTCCGGCAATCTCTCCATCCTCTATTGTTCGGAGCTCCTCTAGCCTGAGTAAACTTATTTTCCAAATGAGTGCCACCATTGTCCAACTTCTTCGACTCGCGCACGCTGGTCTCCCATTGGTTCGAAGCCCGAGAATTATTTCCAACACCTCCCCATCCCTTTTCCTTTAAAGATCCAACACTCTGTCTAGCAGAGTTTAGGCCCTCATTCCAACCCCGTAACTCATTCCCACAAGCTCGCCATGCATTGTCCTTTGAAGCTTCATCACCTTGAGTGCACTTCTTCTCCCAAGGATTTTGAAAGGTCTGCAAATTCATTTCTTTATCCCACTTGTCCCAACCTTCTGTTTTGTTCTTTGCAGTTCCAGTACCCTGCACCAGCCTACATTCCCAAGGATTGTCCCCATTACTTGGATTCACATCATTCCATATTATAGTGCAGCCAGGGACAGAGTTGTGAGCCTTTTGATTGATTTTCCCCACCTTCTTATGTTTTTCTGCTTCATCAGGATTGAAATATTCACGATCCAACTCCAGCATCAGTTCAGGATCTATGTCTGGATACCAATCAATTTCATCAATGTACATGTTTGGATCAGGCAGAGGGTATTCACATGGGAAGCCATTAATCTTTGCCCAAAATCGGTTTTTTGCATTATTGAATGCTTCTTCACCAGCAGAATCATTCCATTTCACTACGTTTTCATGGCAGTACATATACTTTTTAGCAACCACTACCTTCTCCCATGAAATTCCCATTAAATGGCAAAAATTCATTTCCCATGATGGCATGCTTGTTTCACAAATTCCTGTACAGATAGAAATAAAACAAAAGTAAATCAGAATTCATGATGTGCAAACTGACTTGATCCATTTATCTATCTCTAAAGGTCTACCACAACATGATTCACTTTTTTCAGAAAAGGCAGATGAACTTTACCAGAACAAAACAAAAGAAATAGCTAAAAAGCCCAATTACAAGCCCAGAGAGAGACTGTGTGTGTGTGGAAGTCAAAGTGTCCAGAACAATATTAGGATTACTGGCTTTTAATTGTTGCATTGCTCTTTTTTTTAATGGTTTTGGACAATTATTGTCAGCCATTGCTAAGTTTTATGTGGTTTTCTCTTTAATATGTTTTTGTTGTTCGTGGGATATTACAAGGTTTCGAATTTCTTTTCTTTTCTTTTCTTTTCCTTTGGTTTTATCGTGAAGCAAACATATGTTCAATTGGTCAATGATTTATTTTCGTTGAGATCATCATGTAGATTGCATAAATGAATAATTACTCTGAGAAATGGTTATGAAGCATATTGGTGTTTGCTTGAATATATAGATTAGCTTTGAATCAGGTGTTTTCTTAGTGCAGAATTGTGTCCAATTTCCTTTTAGTGAAAAATTTAGTATCGTATTGTTATGCTATTAATTACATGCACATATTTCTCAAAATTGTTTTTGATTAGGAGTATGTTATAAGTGGTGTGACTGTCACAAAGAGGCGGTGGCGCCTCATTTCTTGGGACATGAAGGTTAGGTTAGGTTTCAAAATGCATGAGACAAAATTAAATAAAAAATTTGGATATTTGAAGAGTTGTTTCCTTAAGCATTTTCAATCATTTCCTTTACTTTGTCTCTTATTTTCTAAGAGCCAAAATGCATTTTAGGGTAATGCAAAATAAAAAAAATATGGAAGTTGAGTTCAAGAATGTTTAGGCAGGCTCCAAAAGCTATTTCCTTTTTTAAGTAGTACAAATTATCCATGATGAGTACCAGATGAATGGACTTTGTGTGGAGGTGGTACAAATTAATAAAAATGACTCTAGATAGTTTCGGAAAGGGGTTTGTCCATTCATTTTCTTAAACATTAAATATAAATATATCAAACATGAAAACAAATTTTTTGAATCGGAGACCTCTTACTGAGTTATGATAGTCCTAAATCACAGAGAAAAAGCAAAATGTTTAGCATATAGAATAAAGAAACAATAGAAAAATAAAAACTAGGTGCAAAAGAGAGTGAGATTTATCCAGTCAATGAGCACTTTCTCCTCTACTATGTCACTGCTAAACATACATGCAACTATATATGCTACACAGCAGAGCAACATAAAAAAGATTGAAAATTTAAACATTCATTTGTACTTCTTAATCCAGGAGATGGGGAGATGACACACTTGTGATGGAGTACTTAGTGGAGCAGTATGAATAGGTAAAGCTACAAGAGATAGCAGTGGATTGGTTATGAATCCCAAATTTACCATGCAAATCTACTAGATCAGCCCAAGCTTGCTTGATAATATGTCGAGTTCCAGAGATGCCATTGTGATAATATAAGCAATATCATAAGACTGATTGTGTAGTCCTTAGAACTTTGTGGGAAGTTAATTTTCTTTTTTGTTAGACTATACACCTTGGACTCACAAATAAAAATTCAAAATAATCACGCGCAACACAGATGTACATCAACTAGTACTAAGAAAAGCACCATGTAACATGTTTTCAAAATATCATTCAATATCCATTAGATTATATGGTCATAGAGGCTAGTTAGCATGTATAGCACTACATCACTATGTAATACCAAAATTTCTAATCCTATGTGTATCCATACTTTGGAAATATGACTTTAAATATAGAAATGTATCTGATACTAGCATCCAACTTAAAACATGTGCTGAGATCAAGTCCAAAAGCTTATGGTTGATGATTATTATTATTATGTTAGGTGAAACCTAAGATATGCATGATCATGGAATACCAAATCATATCCTAATTCCTAGGGTCACATAATGAGGTTTAAGGCCAACCTTGATATCTACAAAAACAACCATTGTTATTCTGACTATCTAACCCAAACTATTGAACATTAAGAGTCCGGTGTTTTGCTAGCTTTTAGTGACCAGGGTCGTAAGGTACACACAGCCTTTCCCACTAGGAGCTTTTAAATGCCAGCCCGTTTTCATTCCTGTTTTTCAGGTCAAACTTGAGTAAAGCTACACACCTTGATTAGTTGAAGTTCCAACTACAAGCATTATTTTTCAGACACAAGCATCCACAAAAATTCAAATTTCATTTTATTTCTCCTGCTAACCAAAACAGTTGGAATTGGTTTTTAATATCCAAACAAGTTATGCAGACAGTACACCAGGGATCAACCGCATACTGTGAAGAAATATAGTTTTACCACAGAATCAGATGGCCTACAGAACTATTCCTTGCAGAATAAAATCTCCCTTTAAATTGCTCTAAACCATATCTGAGCATCAACGAAAGAAAAAAGTTTCCAAAAGTATCACTTCAAACTGCAAATCATCTTATTCAAACTTCCAAGATCAATTCGTACAAACCACAATAACTTAAGCACTTTAACATCTCAGACAAACTATATTGTTCATTTATTATTATTAAGGCAGCGTATCGAACCTTGAAGCAGAAAGGGTCTGCAGAAGGCATGACTCTGACTACATTGCACGTGGATGCAAGATGTCAATTTAGTAACAGGTATCTCTAACTAAAGAGGTTGAACATTATCACATCTACCAATCTCGCAATAACCATGATAAATACAAATCACAGCTATAATCCAACCTGAAAGTATGAGTATATTACCAAGCAATGCCATCAGAATCATTTCTCTCAGCATAGTTTTGTTGCAATGCTATAGATCCCCACTAGAACATCATGAAACTCTGGAGAATCTCCTAAATCTATTCAAAGTCCTTCTACTACAAATGGGCAAAGAACTAATGCAAATTGATTTATAATATAACTGATTGGGAACTAACTCGTATAGCCTCCAGAAGAATTTTTTCAAGGAGTTGCAACAGGACATACAGAACAGCTGTCACTTTTCTATAAGGCTACGTCTTTTCACTAAGCATTGATCAGGGCATGCAGAGTCATGATGATGAGCCACTAGGGAGCCTCATAGAAACCTTATACACAACACACCATGGCCCTCATAAGTTCCCAGTATCATATCCTTAGAAACTAGATCCAAACTGTTCCGGAAGACCTTTGGTTGCTACATTGCTACTAATCGACATTTTAAAGTCCTCCTGGTGATGTATTAACCTACCAACTACTTTCACATATCTTTGAGGGCTAAAAAGGTTACTATCCAGTTTGCTCTCAGTTAAAGGAGATCGCTAGGAAGCATGGATTGGGTATGGTATAACCTTTGGATTATCTGCACAGATTGGCTTCCCTCAAATTCAAACCTATGACCTTATGATCCTTAGCCGGAGTATTTCACTATTCTACCATGCAACGACCCCAATTGTCTTTGATGACAATCAGTACAAAATCACAAGGGGAATAGTTTTAGAAGTTGAGAAATATCAGAACACTTTGATAAGTCTACTGAATAGTTTTAGGAACTTGAGAGATATCAGAGCACTTTAATAAGTCTACTTATACTTTCTTTCTATTTTTATTTTGATAGAAATGTTACATTATTTCCTTTTTTTCTTTCCCATAGAAGAAGTTAGAAATGAAACTAGAGACCTCGTGTCACTTGATTAGGTAGGAAGCCTCTCAAGGTATTTCACATCATTAGGAATTTTTAAGCTAACTAAATACAAATTAACGCAAGAAGTAACCTTTGTAGCTCAGACGCCTCAGAGCACTCTCAATCTTGTCCTGCTTTTTCTTGTCTTACCTTTTCTATTAGTGTTTTTAAGCTAATCAAATTCAAATTAATGCAAGAATCAACCTTCGGAGATTTGAGCACTTTCAGCCTTGGGTCTCAAAAGCGAGACCCACAAAGTACACAATCAAAACAGTGGCTAATAGTACACGATCAAAGAGCCTACCATATATTGAATAACAATTGATATCATGGTAACCAATTAAGTAGTTACTAGTATAACGTTGGGAAATTTCAAAACGTTGTAATAGATCAGAGCACGTGGCCACTAACCACAAGGACAAAGGTTCCCACCTAGCAATCTACCAACTTTCCAAAAGAAAAAACACAGAATCAATTAGGAAATTCAATGATCTTGCAACTATTATCTTTTATTTCTTTAGCAATTCTAAGAAGACAATTGAAGCTTTAGATGTTTCCATATTGTGTAACCGTATCATAGGATGTTTCTTTCTTTCTTTTATTTCCAATAAAATTATTTATTGCTGCCTTTAATGTTTCCATTTACCTTAAGGTTTCCACAACAATAGCCAAGAAGGAATGAATTTTCCCTTGCTTACTTCCTTCCTTTCAATTACTCTCTCTTCTTCTTGTCCTACTTTTTCATTTCTCCATTTCTCATCTATATCTTTCACATTTTACTCAGTTGTACTTCTGTCGTTCCTTCAAAAGTGTCAAATTCCATATTTGGATGTCCCAAAAATATGTCCCATTTGACAAATCAAAGATGATTTTTGCCACTTCTACAGTTACAGTTTGAAATATAATGAGTTTTGATCTATTACCAATGAGAGGGATAAACTAAACTATAATTCACGTATTCAAATGGCTCAGTGGAAAATAAAATAGGTATGGAGAGAATTGGTGAGAATAACATTTTTCTCTTTTTTGCTCTCTCAGCTCTCCTTCTGTCCTCTCTCTTGGTCTTCTTCGCCATTTTCTCCCTTCTGGGCATTCATTTTGTTTGTTTTACCCTAAAGGAAGGTGGCAGTTACCTCCTTATAGACAACATTCTTATTAATTTTTGCACCAAAATAAACAACTATGCAACAATTTTTCATTTTTGGTAGCTTTTTCTTGGCAGCTACGATAGTTTTAGGCATGGATTTTGAG